GAAATTTTGTTTCTGCTTGTAATAAATGGTTTGAGTTTAATCAAAATATTGTAAAGTTATAAAACTTTATATTTTGATAACTTTAAAAATGGAAACAGTGTCTCAATGGAATATTTACTAGATGTTTAATAGTTTCTGGAACATATGTTTAACAAATATGTTAAACTTTGTAAATTTATTTACAAAAAATATAAAAAATACTTTTATAATGGTTTTAAATAAATGAAATTTTAAAACAACGATTTTCACAGTGACAAAATACATCAAAAAAAAAAAAAAAAAATTCAATTACAATGTAAATATAATGTATGCAAAAAATATAATGCATAAAAGTTAATTTTTTAATTTTATTTCACGCACAATACGAATTATAAATGGCAACCATCGAGTAAGTTTTGTTATGATTTTTTTTAAACCTTTTGGGAACCTTATGGGAAACCCGTCAAATCCCCAGATTTATCGGCCCTGATAAAAACCAGATAAAACCCAAACAAGCAAATATGCTTGATTTTATTACCATACGGGACCCGTCTGGAAACCAAAACACTTACCCGTCAAAATCCCGTTCCCGTAAGCTCCGACAAAAACCACATTGTACCCGTCTGTCAATGTTGGCTGGGATTGTCATCTGCACCCATATAGACACCACTACAATATTGTGCCTGTTACTGAAGATAAAATTCATCTATAATTAGTATTATATCTTCGTGTATTGAACCCTTCTCACGAAGTGTTTTAACAGCCTTTATTGCATCAACTCCACCTTGTTTAATTTTATTTAATAAAGAAAGTGAAGGTAATGGAAACAATTCAAGTAAAATTTCATATGCTTGTTTAGATGTATATCTTAATAATAAAGCGTGTCTGATCATATCTGCAGAATATTGTGGTTGACCTTTTGCTTTATAGTATATTCTACTATTTATTTCCTCAAGAAGTATATTTCCATTAGAAGAAGCTATGTTTTTTATGTACGATTCTATTAAAAGAAGTTATGTTTTTTATACAAGATTTTCTAACATAATCAAACTAGTTAACTTGCCATTATGACCTTTAGTTAACCATGGAGGGAGTGGAACATTATTTTCTTTGTATTGCGAAGCTACACATAAACAATGATCAATTTTTATTCATTCAAGAACAGAAGGAAAATGCGTTAAAAGATCAAATATTAAATTGTAATAAATAACACAATTGAGATGTTTTTTAAATTGAAAACCTTCTGGTAAATGTAAAAAAACCTTCTGGTAAAAACTTGCTTCATTCAGATATTTAATCATTTGCAGAAAAAAAACTAAATTCATCTTCTTAAAAAATACGAGTTTGAGGTGGTCTTCTTAAACCAATAGGTGATGGTAGTGTGAAAGGCCGTTTTAAGCATTCGCTTGAGAAAATTTTAGGAAAAGGGTTTAAATTCCAATTTATCTTGCTTTTTACACCTCGATTAATGTACTTTTCATTAAAATACTTTTCACATAAGACCGAATTTGGTGAAGGCACCCAACCACTACGGTTTACAAAGTGAACCCAATAATTTAGCAACTGTTGATTTTTCAACGGAAAATGAAAAGAAGCAACTTTTATATCTTCCAAAGAACTGTTGTATCCAATTTTACAACCATATGCAACACACTTATTAACCATAATATTCAGCTTTGCTAATATTAATAAATTATCTAAAATAGCATTGTATATATATATATATATATATATATATATATATAAATATAAATATATATATATATACATTTATATATATATATATATATATATATATATATATATATATATATATATATATATATATATATATATATATATATATATATATATATATGTATATATTTATATATATATATATATATATATATATATATATATATATATATATATATATATATATATATATATATATATATATATATATCACAGCTGTTTCACGCTATGTAAAATTAATCATTACGTCACGAGTTTAGCAAAAAAAAATTTCGCATAAAAAGTATTAAAATTTATTAACTTTGAAATAATAATTTTTTTTCTCTAAACGCTTTTATTTGCAAATAAAAAAAATATAAAAGATTTATCTTTTTTTTTTTAATAATTGTTTACATTATACAGATCAAAAATATATATTGTTAAAATATTGCTAATCATTTGGGATCACTTTTCTGTTATTTGCAATTTTTACGGAAAACCTGGCCAAATAAGATTCGCTTGTCTTAGCTTCATGCCTGATAATTGAAATTTGGAAGACTTATCAATGAATGTCTATTCTATCATATTCCTACGTCATTCCGGTGATTTTTTTACTATAACTTAATTTTTAATGCATTTATACTTTTAAACTTATCTCTTTTAAATGTAAAATACAAATTTTTTGATGGATGACGTAAGTTATTAAAATTTCGACCTTTTATGCAGATTAAAATATAAAAATTACTTTCTGTACCTTTCGCTGTGTTAGCGAATATGTTTCTAAACTTGGGGGCTGTCCATTAATTACGTCAACAATTTTTTGGCAATTTTTACCCCCCTCCCCCTTGTCAACAACTTGTCAAACTTTCAGTGACCCCTCTATAAAATTTCGTCAACATTCGATTACCCCCCCCCCCCTTCCCCTAAAAAAAATTAAGATAGAAAAAAAAATGTTTTAAATTGACTAGTTTACAACTGAAACAAAAAAGTGGTTCAAAGTAAATTTTTTAAATAAAAAAATGTATTCAAATTTTAACTTTATTGAACATTTTTTAAATAAATATAATCATTTAAAATTACAAATGTTTGCTCTCAACAAAAAGTTAATTAAAGTTAAAGGTATAGAAAAAAAAAGTAAACTTTTAACTTAGAAACATATTTTCAGTTTAAAAATACAAAGAATTACTCTTTAGAAAAAAAAGAATCAAGGGTTCACATATATGTTTACACGTTTAAATTATAATCATATTTCAAATGAATAAAATTCTCCTTAATTTAACATTAGATCTAATACAAATTTACAGTGACAGACAATTATTTTTTATAGTTTAGAATAACAAAAAAAAGCATTCAACAAATTGTATAAACCAGGGATTGGCAATCTTTTGAGACGAAAGAGCCAAAAACTACAATATACAAAGTTTTTCATTTTATAAAGAGCTATCAACATCCTTATTTTAATATTATATTTAGGGATGCGTCCTGAAAAGGACTGTTGATTTGAATATCACAAAAAGATTACATTTTCCTATTTTTTGTTATCCAGGAACTCTAATAATATAAAAACGCTTATGGATTACTATTGCTAAGACTTTTAGTTAGAAAGACAATCTCTTATTAAACCCGGAGTCCATTAAACTCTGGAACTCCGGGCTTAAAAACAATATGTTTCAAGTCATTAAATTTCATGAGTTTTTTTTATTTAGCAGATCATAAATCAACCAACATGTTCAGAGTTTTTGGACACCAGAGACCAGTAAAAAACAGAGATATAAAACCGGAGTCTTTTTGGGGCTCCGCATATCATTATACTAATATTTGTGCATGTCAAGATTATAATATTTCGATGTCAAAATGCAGCTGAAGAGCTTCATCTTGACATCGAAAATCACGAAACTTGCGGGCTGCAGGTTGTACCCCTTGTATAAACGTTTAAAAAATGTAATGTAGGCAATGTACTTACATGAATCTTTTTTGAATGCACAGCAGACTGAAACAACAACAACTTTGAAAAAATAATAGCGTCACAAGTCTTGTGTGTAGTTATTTAGTTCTGTATTTCGTGTCTTTTTAAAGCACAAAACGGTTTTTAAAACGTAGGAATATAAATTATAGGATAGTAATTTTAATGCTGAAGGTTGAGCAACTGTTTAACACAGGATTGCATGAATTTTTGAAGCAATGACATATATTACGTCATAACCTTAAATGAGTTACAAAATCACACTCTAGTTTTAATTTTGTGTAAACTTTATTTTGGTGAAACTTTCTTTACAAACTTAAATATTTTTTAATTATGTCTTTAATACCTTTAATATTGATAAATATATTTAATTTCCAGTCAAACTCTTTTTTTTTTTTAAAACAAAACACAGCTGTAATATTTGGCAAGTTTGATGTCTGACTTAAATAACCCCTCTATTGGTTCGCATTAGGTTTAAGTAAGATTTTTTTGCTCTAAAAATGCTCTAACAATGTTTATATTATATATTTAACAACGTAAGTATTTTCTTTTTTTTTTGATTAATTTTGCTAAATAGTAACATTAAACTTTTCAAAATCAGCTTTGTTTGTAACTTCTGCGCGTTTATTTAAAAATGAAATTTTTTTTTTGATACTTTATTGAATGTTAAATGATAAAACAATTTATTGATATTTATATTCTTTTTACAAAACAAAATTATCTGTAATATTTCAAAAGTTATAACAGTTTTAGTAACTCCCCTTAAGTTAATTTATAATTTAAAAAAATAACAAGACTCCCAAAAATAACAACTCCCCTTAAGTTAATTTATAATTTATAATAACAAGAAGCCGTATGTCCACCTTGAAACAGCCGTGATATATATATATATATATATATATATATATATTTATATATATATATATATATATATATATATATATATATATATATATATATATATATATATATATATTTAAACCCATATATTTCATGTTTTTTTAATATTGGATTTTAATATTAACACATATATTTAATGTTTTTTTTAATATTGCACTGTCATTATTTTGTTGCGTAAATAGGCCTCTTAGAATCGGCCTCTAAAATGTAAACGGCCGTTTAATGAAGTAGACCATGATTGTTTTATTGTTTTGTTTTATCAAAACATTAATTGCGATTATAATTTACTTAAACTTTGGTATCTGTTTTGGTTTGAATTAAATTCTACCAAAGTTTTGGCATATTTTGATGTTTTGATTGCACCTTCATATCAAAAACACTTATTAAAAAAACTTTTTTTTTTTCCGCGTATTTGTGTGTATATTGCTTACTGTAAGTTTAGAATGAGTTCAGAAGATTTCGTATAAAATTTTCAAAGGATGATTTTAAATCCGCTGAAGAACAGTGCAACGACTTTGTTACTTTGATTGCTCCTCATCTTCATGTTCAAAATGCCAACAACTCGTCAGATTTGCAGAGTTCTGAAGTGAACAACGACGCTGACAGTTCCATATCAAGTACTTTAAATCGAACAGATATCCGTCAAACTGAAACTGTTACAAATGTTACTCGGGTGAGTATTATTTAACTTTTTTAAGTATAAGAGTATTTTTTAAGCGAAAAGGATAAGCAATGTTAGCGTGTAATATAAACTTAATAAAATAAATTTGTCTTTAATAGAATGTGGTGATGCAAATGCACAATCTTCCATCATACTATGAAACAACCAATTTAAAATTGAACGAAGATACAAATGCTAACATGATAAAAACCTTGTTACTTGACCCAAATTTTCCTGCATTTGTTGAAAGTGTGGAAAAGCTTCTAGCTGAGATGACAAAGTAGTTTTTTCATAAAAAAAACTTTGGATACTGAAATTATTATTTAATTTATAATAACGATAAAAGTTTTTTAAAGCAAAGATTACATTTTCAAGTATTTAAATGATTGCTAAATTTAAATAACTTTTAATAATTTAAACTTAAAATATATATAGAAAAATAAAAATTCCAAAAAACATCCAGGGGGCGATTCTAGGAACAAAATGAGTAGGGTGGTGGTGAATCCTTAAAAAGTGCCGACTGCTTTCTTTAACAAAAAAAAAAGTTTTCAAACCTAAAATCCACTCGACTAATCGAGTTATACCTCAAAAATCTGATTATAACTTGAAAATTGTCTTCTTTAGAAAGAAAGGGGGTGCGACGACCTACGCACCTACGTAGAATCTTCTCTGAAAATATCCTATAAAAAGAAGTTTATTTTATCTTTACACAATCCTGCCTTTTTAATACTTCAAAAATTTATTCACTAAGTTTAAATACTTTCATTGGATGCAACATACAAGTCGTTTAGAGAGCTATTCTGATAACTCCCATTAGGAAAATTTATTTCCGCTTTATACACGAATCAACAAGTTCTGTGTTAAAAAAAACATACATATTTTCTGTGACTGGACAAATACTGAATGAAAAAAAGTTAATTATCAAAAGATTGTAAAATTTTATAATTTTATTTGTGTACAAAAACTATTCTTTTATGCTATATAATTTTGTTAACTAATTAGATAGCGGAAGTTGTAAATCTGACTAAATCTAAAAATATCGATTTCTATAGCTTTGTGTAAAACAATACTATAAACACAATAAAGAAGTGTAGCAACGATTGAATAATACAACGTTTTGCAATAAAAATCTAAAATGTTTATCGATGTAGCTCTTAAATTGATTTATACTTTTTCAACGGTTTCTTGTGTTAGAACACTCCAGTCATTTACAACTTTATTAGAGTAAAAATTGTGTTCAACTTGCAGTTATTTTGTATATTTATTAACTTTTTATGGATTTTGAAGTTATGGGGTCTTGCATGATCATTAGTGTTAAAATTTTCAAATGGGTCATGGAAGTTTTTTTTCGTCTATTTTTTCACTTATATTAACATTTAGATTAAATAACCAAGCCGTCTCCTGTTTTCGAATGAGGGTAATTTTAGTTTTAAACTGTCTTCATGGCTATGACTAACTAAACTCAATATTTCTAACTAAACTCGATATTTCTAACTAAACTCGATATTTTGGTTGATCTATTTCAAGTCTATTAATTTCTCCTTTACAATAAAGATTCCATATACTCGATATGAGAACAAACTAATGGCTTGTATAACAAACTAATAATACTTTCATCTATCAACTCAAATGCATATTTAATTCTTCCTGATTATTTATTTGTTATATCAATTGCATAGGATATATGGATCAATCAAGATCATTCGAAATAAAAATGCAAAGATTTATTTCGACTTTTTTTTTAACTTATTAAATTTTGTATTTAGGGTAATTGTTTTCGAAATGCATTACTTTACATTGAATTTTAGCTGCCAGTTATCTGTCTATTCTTTTAAAACATTATCGTTTTGTAAATTAATATTATCTAATTCTTATTTAATAACTACCGTAATTAAATAAGAATACCGATTGGGTGGCTTTGGCCCATTTTGCATTTTAATGTCTATTGCATGAAAGCCACAAAAGTTATTTCCTCAAACACTAGGTACTTTTAGAAGCGCATAGAAAGGACAGTTAGAACTATCTGTCTCCCATTTGAAAATTATTAATCCATTTTACAAACTAAACAAGTATAGGTACCAAGTAAACAAAACAGTTTAGGTATAAAGTAAACAAAAATGACAAAAATAATGTTTTGTAAAATTTAGTGAAAAAGTTCTGGAACTGAATAAATTCCTCTTTTCGAAATTTTTTTTGGTTTCTCGACTATTTCAGATTGGGGAAAAAAAGTTGCTCTGCTGGTAGTGACCATTTCCAGTTAAGTCAATCTTTTTTCATAATAGTAATTTCTGCTCCATTTTTTCTTAATTTCTTCAACTGCAGAAAAAAAAATTTCGAAAGTTTTTTAAAATTTTTCAGTAGTTTCATTAAATAATATTAGTTATTAAATTAATTAGTTATAAAGTTTACTAATTGATTAGCTAAATATAAATAAATCAAAATAAAAAAACAAACCTGTCCAGGATTTAACTCTCCATTGCATTTAACAATTACATAACAATTCTCTACAAGATTTAATAATTTCTTCTTTTTACAAACATTTTTTGTTTTATCAATATTTTGAAAGTTCTTTTTGCCTAATGCTGAATGATTTAAAGATTTTGTATGACTTTCTACAACTAAACTTACATCTGCAAAAATTAGATTAGAAGTCTCAGTAGTTCCAGTAATTGTACTTGGGCCAGCAAAAACAATGTTGTTGGTCTCAATTGTATTTATAATACTGATAGATGTATCTACATTATTTGAATGTAATCTATTATTTTCATTTACAACACACAATGATATATCTGTTGAACATAAGCTTTTACCTGGGACAGCACATACTTTACGTCGCTTTAGTTTTTTAGAACCATCTGAGGGATCATCTAGTGACTTACATAAATGATCTAAAAATGATTGGCTCACTAAATCAGTAGTTGAGCCTAAACCTACATTACAACATGGTAGTCGTTAAAGCACTTGAGACTTGTCTAATGGAAAAATTCCAGTTTTGCGAAAACCAGCTCTAAGGTTATCATTCCCATGTTTATTTAAGTTGGTAATTAAACGGTCTAAAAGTCTAGGAAACCCATCTTTAGGAAGAGAAGCAACTGTCCTTCTTTTCCTTTGTCTATCCATTCACATAATATTTTGCGCCAGTTAATCTTCATAGGTCTAAAGTTGGCAACATCTAACGGCTGCGTGAGATGTGTAGAGTTTGCTGGTAATGCCACAAATCCTATATTATTGCTTTGACATGCATCCAGGACTGCAATGCTCAAATGTGAAGATACGTTATCACCTATAATGACACTTCTTCCTTGAGCCTTCTTAAGTCTTGGAAGAAGTAAAGAGAAAAACCAGTCCTCAAAACATGTTGAGTCAAACCAACCACTTTTTAATATGTTATAACGTGCTTTTGGTGGCCTATGTTCCATCCATGTATTCCATAACGACTCAGCTTTGTAAACAACATAAGGTGGTAGCAATTCACCATTAGCATTACCGCCAAACATTACAGAGAATGAGGTCTTTGTAGAATTAATGATGCGTTCAGGGTACTTACATCCACGCTTTGTTGATATTTTTTTTTTACCTGGAACATCACTGAGATTGGTTTTATAATAGTTCCATATATATTATTAGGTAATATATTACTTATTTCATTTGATAGATTTATAAAGTAGTTATCAAACACAGTCGTTCCTATTTTTGCTCTCTTTCGCTTTATGTTGCTTGCTATGTTTATCTTACTGTGAGTTCTGGATTTCTTTTTAAAAAAGATCGAATCCAATCACCACCTGGAAAATTATTTTTGAACTGAGGTATAATGACGCCTTTTTTCTCTAAATACCCTTTTACTATGCATCTTAAATCATATTTATCAACAGAAAAACCAAACTCAGATGATTTTATTGCATATGCCTTAAACATGTTTTCTTCTTTTGATGTATATATTTGCTGACCACCATATTTTTTAGGATATGTCTGTTTTATTTTATTTTTTAATGTTGATTTTGGTATATCGTATTTCAAAGCTGCTTGTCTTTGAGTAATTAAACCATTCTTTAAATCTTCTAATGCATTGTCTTACTGTTCTAAAGTATAAGTAACATATTTTCTTCTTCCACAATTTGGCTTGTAATTTTGTGGCATGTTTAAACTAAGAACTAAACAAATTTCACTATAATTTTATACTGATTTACTAATTAAAACTGTTATACTGATTTTCTATTGCATTACTACTACAAAATTTTTCATTCCAACATAGTAACTACCATAATATCTATAAATGATCACTAAAAAAGGTTTACTCTAATACATGGGGTGACTTTAGCCCGGGCCAATGTCACCATATGTAGTGGGCCAAAGACAACCTATTTTTTTTAAACCTCAATTACAAAAAAGTAATAAACTGTTAAGCTTTCAAAACAAGATAGAATCAAACACTAATGGTTTAAAATTAATTTAGTGTATATTCCAATAAAAAACCTTCAACATGTACTGCTATCGATGTAAAAGTTTACACACCTAAAAAAATTCGGATTTTAGGTGCTTCTTCTAAAGTGCAATTTACAAAAATATCACAAAGACTCGAGTTAAGTAAACTAAGTTAAACTAAATAAATAATAAATTTCCCACAATTTGCTACTAAACATCAACCGGCATACCTTAAGGTATCGATTTTAAACCACTTTTAAACAAAAATTTCTGTTGGGCTAAAGTCATCCCGAAGAGCCAAAGCCACCCAATTTTACGGTACTAATCGTCTGTTTTTACCTTCAGGTATTATCAAATGTAGCACATTACTATCCGAACCCATTTTTACTTGGAATGTTAGATAAATAATATTTTGGAACGCGGTTCATAAATTAAGTCTAATCACTTAAACAATCCATGAAATCTTTTGCTTGATTATTTAAACAATCCATGACATATTATGCTTGATTATTTAAACAATCCATAACATCTTTTGCTTGATTATCTTGATCTTATTGAATTAATTTGTAATTTTCATAACAATTTATTGATAATTAAAATCTCACATTTTAATTCACAAATTGTTCCTAAATTATTTGGCTTTGAGCGCAAGTCAAATATTTTGTAAAAATATTTTTTTAATGTGATCAGAATGATCAGAAATTTATTTTTAGATTGTTTTGTATTCTGGTTTTTTCATAATTGTTGTTTAAAATAAAATAAAATATTTTCGCAAAATTTATGCAAAAAAAAACTTTTTTTTTGCGTATTTGCGCAAAACTTTTTTTTCGGAAATCTTTTTTTATCTTAAACACTAATTATGAAAAAACCAGGATACACAAAAATCTAAAAAAAAATTTGGACCATTATGATCACATTAGTAAAATAAATTTT